TTTGTAAAATTTTATTGAAACAATGGCCAAACCCACAAAATTCAAGGAGGATTTTATAGACATTGACGACGAAGCACAGAATGCTAATCAACAAACAGGTTATGCCTGGGAGGAAGAATATAAGCGTAGTTGGGATGTGTTACAAGAGGACGAAGATGGTAGTTTAAAGCGCACTATCGACCAACTTCAAATTCGAAAGAGGAAAAGGTGAGAAGCAAATTCTTTTACGGATGACCTCGTTAAAGGAACCTGACCAACATATGTACTTCACTCTTAAGATTACTTCGAGACACATCGACTATTAGACGCGGGATCATAAGGCACATGTTTTTAATAATAGATCTGTCTGAGGCCATGATGGAGAAAGACCTTCGACCATCTCGACTTGATTTAACATTATCTTATGCCGAACAATTTGTCCTTGAGTTCTTTGATCAGAATCCAATCAGCCAACTTGGTATCATAGTGACAAAAGGGGGCGTTGCAGAAAAACTTACGGGGTTATCTGGTAATAAATAATCTATTCCTTCGTGTGTCGAAGACGTTAGACATTTTTGCTTAAGCTTTCTTGTTGAATTTACTGAATCGGCACAGGTAATCTTGTGGAAAACATAATTGCCTTGAAAAACAAAAAAAATGCTGATGCAGATGGGGAACCATCACTGCAAAATTCATTGGAATTGGCGCGTTCATCATTGATGTAACTAAAAAAAGAAAGTCGATTTGCAATTGCGATCTTTGAAATTTAATTGATTAAAATATCGACTTTTTTAGTCATGCCCCGGCTCATGGTACACGGGAAGTTCTGATAATTATGGGCTCACTGACGTCATGCGACCCCGGAGACATATATGATACAATTGAGAACTTGGTGATGGATAAGATTCGCGTCTCCGTCGTTGGATTGGCAGCTGAGGTGCAAATATGTAAACATATGTGTAAAAGGACAAAAGGTATTGTAAAAGAGAAATACACACATTATTTTATCATTGCTGTCATCTTTTGTTAAGGATACTCTAATTTCAGGAACATATGGAGTCGTCCTTAATGAGGCGCATTTCAAAGACCTACTTTTTGAAATCATTCCTCCACCACCAGTTCCCGTTGCCCAAAACAACACAGAACTTGTGATGATGGGATTTCCAAGCAGTGTCAATGAAACTTCGCCATCCCTTTGTGCATGGTATGATACCGCTTGTATATCTCGATATGCAGTTAAAAGGGAAAAGTGTGACCTCTGACAGACTTACTGTATAGTATTGATTGCACAGCCATTCTAAACCTACATCTAGTGGTTATTCATGCGCTCGGTGCAATTCAAAAATATGTGATTTACCGACAGAGTGCCCTGTATGCGAACTTACGTTGGTGTCAAGTCCGCACTTGGCACGTTCATACCATCACTTGTTCCCTGCGGAGAATTATAACGAGGTGCCGTGGAATAGGTCGGTTCCAACAAGTTAATTCTTGGAATATTCTAGAAATTAATCTTACTGATCAATTATTTGATATCCTCAGTACCACGGAGACACATTGCTTCGCCTGTCAGATGCCTTTCCCAACATTTTCAGATAACAAACAAACAAATGTAGACATACCTAGTGGCATATACACATGTCCAAAATGTAAACAATACTTTTGTTTAGATTGCGATGTGTTTGTGCATGAAGTAATCCATAATTGTCCTGGATGTCTATCTACATCGCAAAATAATAATCTTATAATGGATATGATGGGTCAAATGAATGGAAATA